GTGTTGGTTTCCTGGTTTGTTTTGAGTTTTCTTGTTGTTGATTTGCCCTGCTTATGTCACACGTAATTGTGTAAGTCTCACGGATGTTATCACACAAAGTCCTCAGCGATAACAAATCAAGAGTGAACTGGGAGACATAGACCTTCCTCCACACGCTCACATTTTCCCTGCAAGAGCCCGAGATTTGCAAAGTAAGGCTTACGGTTGTCGACTGAGCATAGATTCTTGCCGTCATGACTGTTTACCCGTTCCCAGGTCATCAGTGGTTCAGGGGGTGAGTGAGGATCTCAGCACGTGTTCAGGGCTCCATGGTAATCTGTAGGGGGGGTCTTAAAATGTTTGGGTGACTGCGTACCTACCCTAGCAGGCCCCAGCAGCCCACCAGCCAGACTTATGACAGACGAAGAGCCCAGACCGAGGTGATATCCAGAACAGGGTGCAGCCTTCTCTTACTTCGGAAATAAGCAGAGAAACTGCATGACAAGGAATGCCAAGAGCCTTCCTAAGAGGGCCCGAGGTCGTCCCGCTGCCATCTAAGGTGATCTTCCAAGAGCTAAGACTTCCTCTCCCAGCTCTGGACTCTCCAAGATGCACAGAACAAACTCATTAGGAGTGAAACTCTCCCAGGGTAATCTTAAAATCCCGGTCTTTGGATGGCTGCCAGTGGCTTCTAGCCTAGCTGCTTGTTTCTGAGAAGGTTCTGAGCTCCTTGCTGCTTGGAATTCCTCACTGGATCTTTCTGTCACGCATCTCTGAGAAAGATGAGACAGATTTGCTATTAGGTCCCTCAGCAGACCTGCCTCTAACCCCAGCTACTGATGCCTCAACCCAGAGGGCATTCTGTGCTTCGCTCAGAGGACCCGTGCCTTCCATGAGACAGAGGTGATTGACATATTATGCTCTTCAGGGCTGGTGTTTGTGTGGACTGAGTAGATGCCACACATGGTGCTACGGGCTTTTCTATGAAGTACATCATCAAATCCCCACACCCACCCAGTGAGATTCACATTTTGTAGATGGGTTAGTGAGGCTCAGACGATGCAAGGCCGAATGAGGAGTCAATGAAAGAGGAGTCAATGGCAGTCAGAAACCAACCACAGGTATCATTACATCCACAAGAGTAACAACACAACTGGTGTCTGATGCAGACGTCAGTCACAAACTTCTGACTCGTTTTATAATCATTGGTGAGGAAAGGGGATGGTGGAAATTTTCAGCTGTAGGTCCTAGGTTATGTAAACGGCGTGTGAAAAACTTCAGAGGATCTAAGGAAGACCCTGTGGCAAGAATAGGAAGGGCCACAGAGGGATGCTGGAGTGTGGGGTAGATGCTCATTTCCAAATGTTCCAAGGAGGCCAAAAGGCAAAGCCAGCCATATGCATTAACCTATGAATGTGTGTGTGTGTGTAGCAGTTACGCCTCAGTGCTAAATGCAGATATTAACAAGAAATGAGACTGCAGGGGTCCCAAAGTGGGAGCACATAGGAACAGGGCACGTGCCCACAAGAGTGACAGGAGGCTGAAAGCTGGAATTCAGGGACTGGAAAGACACTGGTATTAATAAGAATGCCCCTTTTGTTCATTTTGGGCCAAGGAGTTAGGGAAGGGGCAGGCTCAAGGGAACGAGGGGGCCAAAGGCAAAAGCATTTTTAATTTTCTCTCCTCTTGTCTAGACCTTGGAGAAGCGTTTCAAGTGGAAATCAGAAAACAATCCAAAGCTTTATAGAACCGGCGATGAGGCCCATGGGAACGAGTCACTAGTATCAAAGGTCAATTGGGGGCCATGTTGATATTCATCTTCCGATTAAATCCCACCGTAACTCAAAAGAATATGCATTATTAAAATAGACAGTGGTAATTCCCTCCTGTGTTTTTTGTCTTGATTTCTCTTCTTCCTTTAAGGATCCCAAGGCTCTCAGAGGTTCTGTGACATGTCCAAAGCCAAGCCACATCCCTACCTGGAAGTTTGTGCCTTCCCACAATTTTGCAGCACATTTCTATGCATCCTCACCATAGGAATCTCTTTCCTTGGACATTTTAGGGTACTCTGGGACAGTAGTTCTCATGCTGCCACCCTGTCTTTCATACAGTTGCTCATGTGGTGGTGACCCCTCAACCACAAAATTATTTTCGTTGCTACTTCAGAACTATAATTTTGCTACTGTTATGAATCGGGCGACCCCTGTGAAAGGGTAGTGTGACCCACAGGTTGAGAACCACTGCTCTAAGTCTTCAGGGGAGTAGAACAGCTGTGCTGTTAGCAGCTGAACGGGTGACTTACCATGTCTCCAAGGGGACACAGAATCATGACCACGAGCATGGATAGCAGGAGGGACTGGAGTAGAAGTGAGCCCTTGGGAATGAGGGAGATGGCGTTCCCTTGGAAGACATAATGAAATACAAATCCAAACTGGCTCTTCCATTTAAGAGCCTAGAGCATTCTCCCATCAGAACTCCGCTGCTGCCTGCCCCACCCGCAGCCCTCCACGTTGAAAAAGCGCCCTAGAAAGAGAAGACCCTCCTCGCCACTACACTCTCAAGACAGGTGCCAGCCTCCAGGTAGGTTGTCATCGATCAAGTCACCGCACGGTCTCCCCGCTGGACAATGCACCCTCACCTCAAGGCCGAGCTGACACTTCTACCAAAACTCGTCAGCATAAAGCCCACTGCCCCTCTCCTGGACAGCTAGGGAGAAGAGCCCCGGGCATCCTTCCTCCGTGATTCGGCCATCTGTGAAGGCCAAGAGCACATCAGACATCTCGCCCCTCGCCCCTCATGACAAATGTGAGCTGCTCAGTCATCCCGTCAGAAATCACCTTGATCCAGAATTACAACCTTTTAGTAAAAGCAACCACTTTCAACAGTGTGGAAGTCCATTTCTGTTACTGAGAGGTAGAAAGAGATAATGTCCTTGTCTTAAATGTGGGCGCGTGGCTTTGGGGCATGAGCTATGGCAGGTTTGGGGGAGCGAGGGGAGAAGGGATGTCAGAGAAAGCTATGCATACAACGTAGGTAAAGAAAATGTTTTATTTAAAGTGTTAAATACCATCACCAGAATGAATTTGATTTACAGTAGTTGGGGTTCATCACAGGACTAATCTGCCCTTTGTTTGTTTGTTTGTTTGTTTGTTTTTCCCCAACTGGAATTCCCTTTACTTTTCAAACATAGTATGTACAGGGCAGCCATGGTCACCGGGAAAGTGCTGTTTACATGACTAAACCACAAGCTAAGGTGCAGACATGTGAAACTTGAAAAAAAACAAACCCACCAACTTTTAAATAAATACTGCATAATGACAAGTATGTACAAAGATCCCATACGGTGGTGTCTTTCTTATTAAAATTAGAAATAATTTTTATATAGGATTATGCACAAAAGATTATGTGACTGCCTCTTAGGGTGAGGAAAATGGTAAACGCTTCTAAGGGAGAGCACAGATGCTAGGGGTCTATCAAATCCATTGTGCTGGTACACAGATGTCTAAATTATTCCAACAGAGTTCTTACTCTTCTCTTAGCAACTTGACCTAGGTCCTTCGCCAAGGAGACGCAGTTGTCTCGGAGTATTTCATATTGCACCACATAGAGAGAAGGCATTTTTAGTGATACTCATGGTAACCTTTGCACCATTTCAAGCATGATCATTTTTAATAGTCAGCACTGTATTCAAAAAACCAAAAGTCAAAGAAAAAGCATTTTGGTGTGCATGGCCTTCGCGCTAAAGTTAAGCAGAAAGGGTGTGGATTTCCCAAGTTGTTGCAGTCAATTAAAATCAATTGATAAGAAAGTGCTATCAAAGTTTACCCAAAGATCCAGAGAGTGTGGGGGCTTTATTACATCCACCAAGAGAGTGACTTCTCTAAGCAGGGGGATGGAGGAGAAATTTGACCTTGCAGCGCCACCCAATGGTAACAAGTGCTCGTGAGAACAGAGGCAGGGGTTTCTGACTTTAGGGGAGTTGTTTTGAGACCACTGGTGATGGCATTGAAGGCCGGCTAGTAGACAGAATGACTTCTTTCTTGTCACCTAAAAATTGGAGCTTTAAAATCACTGTTGAAAATTGATGCCTACTCTATTTCTTTAGAAATATAATTTGTGAAAAAATTGACTTTTACGACAGAAAAATTAATTAATAAACAGCCCAGTGTGTTTCAGGGTTCCCACATTTTCAGCAGTGTCTCTATTCACATAGTAAATGGAAACTGGCTAAAGAAACTGCTTTAATCAATTGAAAAAGGAACCCAAAGCTCTGATCATGTAGAAATAATACTTTAACCCCTGTATGGAGAATGCTGGTGCTCAAAAAAAGTTTACAAGACATTAAACGGCCATATGATTTTTAAATTTTTCCTGAATTTTTGAAGGTGAAAAAAATTACCATGCACTGTACAGTAAAACTGCAAAAGTTCAAATAGCTTCGTTATCAAATACATGCCGACAGACTTTAATGTACTCCCAAGTCATGTTGCAAAATGTTTGAAATAAAGCTCTGAATGAAGTTGTTTCATTTTGGTTTTTTTAGAGATTCAGAAGGATCTACAGCCCTGAATCACACATGGGGTAGAAGAGAATATTGGGTCAAGCACTGGTCGTTGTTGTTCTTCATCTTCCAGTACAAGGTTCACTCTGCTATGGAGAAGTCAAAGAAAAGATTACAAGAGGAAGAGGAGGAAATGTGAGGTTAGAGAAAAGGAAGAGAGATGTGAACAATCTGCACATAATATTGACCTTTATAAGATCTGTATATTTAACATGGAAATAAATTGAGTATATTATATGCATTTGTCACAGAAAGAGGATTTTAAGTATCTTCGAGAAAGGCCTTTCCTTTGTAATGTCTGCCAAAACACAGACTGTGATTAAAGACTAAACACGGCGTGACTGGTATCACCCTGTGGCACTCTCTCCCCCGTTTAAAACCATGCACTAGTGAAATTTATTTTTAAAAATAATATAAATTGTTGAAAATGGCTGATTTTTATTTTTATTTTTATTTTTTTTGCAAGTTGCAGCCCCAAGAAAATAATTTTAAGTATTCAGCTAATCTGTGTCCATGCAGGAAAAAAAAAAAAAGGTCTCTGTAATTTCATTCGGTAGAGTGTAGCCACAGAGCTCGTTTCTTCAGAGTTCCGCCCATCTTGGCATTGGTGGACGACGGGCCTGGAGTCGCTGGACCGTTCGTTCCTGGTCACTGTCCAGAGGCGGTGAGGACTCATTCCGACCACTTCTTGGGTCCCCTGCTCTCCACCCCACACGTCCTGGAACCTCTCTCCTGGACCCTGTCCCGTGGCTTCATAGACGGCTAGCCCCAATTCTGTGGCATAACAGGGCTTCGGGGGTCAGAGAAATGAAGAAAGAGGAACGATAAAAATATAGAGGTGCCATCGAAAAGGGCAACTGTCGCATGAAACGGACCGATTCTTAGGTTCTAATCCATGGCTTCAGATTGGACGGAAAACTCGAGTGTCGTTGGATTTCACACCTGATAGTTCTCCCACGCTCTGCTCTGCCACCTGAGGGCCTTCGGTAGAGCACAATGTGTGCAACTCCTCTGAGAACGCAGGATCACTTGGTATCCCTAGAAACAGGCTCAGAAGACACAACACAAAGCATGCAGTGGTACCAGGGTTTGCGGCCTGTGGTTTGTTGTGTTGTGGTGGTTGTTTTTTGTAACGCTGGTTGCTATGACAACAGTTTGACAGTTGCTATGAACGAGAGTAAGAAGGTCCGGTGGAACTTTCCAGGGATGATTGGGAAGCTCTTCTTGTCAGAGGGGCCAAGGTCGGATCTACTAGGGATGAAGGGGGGAAGAGTTTGAACCATCCAATAACCATATTGGAGAGCTCCAGTTCATCTAAAAGTATCTGGGCCACTCCCATGAAGGATTTGTGATCCATGCGGCCATAGTCACCCCAGACAATGATCTGTTAGAGCAAAACAGAAAGGAGAGGCCAATCAGTATCGTGACGTCGTAACAATCGCCCAAGACCAACTTGCAGACCACATTGGAATCCAGTCCGTCAGGGGTCTGACATCAAACCTCAGGTGCAGCGAGTTTCTCCTACAGAGTGGCTGGGGAAGTAGCCCCCGGGCACCCACAGGGGCACAAAAGTACAACGGACCCCCTAGGGCGTTCATGGTTGTGACCTTTCCAAACAGACGGCCAGGCGTTTGCTCTGAGGCGTCCCTGGTTGGGTCTGCAGTGCCAACCTTTAGGTGAGCAGTCAAACAGCCAACCTCTCTCTGCTCCACCCAGGGGACTCCTATCAAGTCAAATGGCTGTGTCTAATGACTGTATTTAATCCGGGCCAACTGCTGGGATCCAAAGGTACACTTGAAAAGCTGTACGGGTGTGAAGATCATAAGCACTTTAGGGCGGCTGGATTTCTGTGTGACAAGGGGTATGCATGCCTAGGATTCACTTGAAAGGCAACCACCCTGCAGACTAGTGTTTAAAAGCACTGGCTACGGCTTTCAACTTCCAACGCTTTCTATTTGTGAGAACCAGAAAGAACGATGATTGAAAAAAAATGTGGAGAATAAGATCTGACAGTATATAAAAATATTTCTTAGGCAGGTAGGGAACGAACATCCAGTAAATACCTGTAAAACTTTTCCTTGCGGGCTCTCTTCAAATGATAAGAGCTGCTGGTACAGGGGCTCCAGCGTTTTTCTTGCCACTTTTGTTTTCTTTTTGGCTATGCAGACTCCGTTGTCTAACAGATACACCTTGACATAGGGTGCTTAGGGAAGGAAACACAGGAGTCGTGAGGAGCGGCCCACTATGGAATAAGCCCTGCCCACTCAGGTGTGACCGCTTGTGCTGGGAGGGTTTCCATGTGCTGTCAGAATCATTAGCTAAACCGTTAGGATTGTCAGCCGGCCCAGTAGTGTTAGGCGAAGTTCACGCAGCCTCTGATTGAAGAGGACGTGTCCTCCCATCAGCTGGGATTAGAGAGGAGCAGGGCAAAGATTCTATAAGGTGAAGGACTTCCAGCCTCGAGGGGCATTTCAGGGAGGTGGTGTACTCAGCACGGACCTTACCACTTCTTCCATTTAATTAAACATGCCAAGATCTATTATTTACTCGCACATCGCCACAAATCGTTTAGTTTCCACTCCAAAGGGTGTGTGTGCTGGATTTGTTGGCGTCTGAGCGAGGGATATGGTTTGATCCCATCTGTTCAACTGAGCTGGGATGAGGCAGCTCATTAGGAATTGTATGGCTTGTAATTTGTCTGACAAGACAGCTCATGAGAACTACTTCCATGCAAGCTGAAATCATTATAATCTAAAGAACAGGAGGGGGTGGCGAGTTCCAAGAGCTTTAGAAACACAGCAGTCTTAATCACCACGGCAAGGTTGTATAACAGGGTAACGTAATTCCAAACTTCTGCAGAGACAGAGCTTCAAACTGTTAAGTGAATCAGTGCAGGTGTTGGAGTAAGAAACCAAATTTCAGAATTTGTCCTAATCGCTTTCTACATCATTTTCTATGGCTTTCCGCATCTTAGGTTTTAAGGACATTTCTGCAGTAAATATGTGGCACCATGATAGAAAGTTATAATAGGGCCTCTTTCTCCTTAGACATGACAGGAAGCATTTGTATGCTGCTTGGGAGACTGTGTCTATGGGAACCCTAAGAACGTCCAAGGAGAATGCTGCGGGTCTGGATAAACAGAGGAACGAAATGAAGCACCCACCAGCTACCAAGAAACAGAGGAAATGGTTACGTACTTGCAGTGACTGAAGTATTTCTGCGGAGGGATACTTACTTTGCAGTACTTTCTACAACATAAGTACTTATTGAACAACTAAAGTGTATCCCTACCAGACCACCCCCACAACACGCTCACTCAGGAGAAACACAAAACTATTCTTGCCCGAAACCAGGCATAAAATTGACTCATCTGTTTGCCTTGATATACGGAGCACAGATTTAAGCATTGGCTAAAACGTCCCGTCTCTAAATGGGAAACGTGGACTATGAATAAGCACAGAAAAATCTGTTTTACCTGGCAGTGTCTTGGAACCTGGTTTGACAACAAGGCCACGGGCCCGAATGATCTCCACCTCCAACTGTCCTTTTTTGTCCATCATTCCGACCTGAATGTCACCTAAGGGTGCGTGGGAAAGAAACAAATGCGCCTCAGCATTTCCACGCAGTGAGCGGCACGCTGACGGCAAAGACCGTGGCTTACTAACCTTTCATTAGTTCCCACACATTTTTAAAGCTCCAAATGTATTTAACATGTGTGTGAATACCATGCTACTTCAACAAGCAGTATGACTTAGGATAGAACAACCATTAGTTGAAAACGTCTCCTTGTGGAGCTCTAAGGCACTTCGTTTTTACGGATGGCATTAAAGGCTCTGTGATAGGTAGAGGATAATGTAATGCAATAAAGAAACGGAAAGAACAGGGTCAAGAGCGAGAAGACAGTCTTACCCATTGCAGGTGTGGCCAACGTCTGGCGCCCGACGAGCTGGGCAGGACCAAGGCCATCCAAAAAATCACTGAATTGGCTATCGGACGCCAAGCGGACACCAGGGAAAATCAGACTAGAAGCAAAACAATCAACGAGAGTTCAGCTTTCCACCCTTGTATGCTCAAGTTTCACCTGTCTCCTTCCCGGGACAGAGCATTCCGCACCATGACTTTATCACTTACAGTTACTGAATCCCAAGCCCCACTCTGCTTTCGATGGCTCGCTGGCCAGATTTTCTGGGACCATGCCGACTATCAGGAGCACTTTCCACACGGGCCGGGCTGCTGGAGTGCGTCTTTCTCTCCCCTGGCTCCGAGGCAGGGCCTGCGCTTTCTCCACCAACAGTCCAGACCCAGCGAGCACTCGCCACATGTCACTCGACTGCATTCACGCGACAGATGAAGACGTTTCTGGACCATTCCCCTCCACACCCAAAGCCCAAGGAACTCACTGCCATCGAGTTCATGCTGATTCACAGGGACGCGATCAGCATACACCTATTTTTTCCTCCTTAAACAAATAAAATCCCTTTCCTTCCCATCTTCCTCTCTAGCTGCCGCCTCATGATCTCGCCCTTCCCTTTCCAATGAAATTCCTCGACGAAGTTGTCTCTCTGTGCTGTCTTCCATTTCTCTCCCCTCATTCCCTGTTGAAACTTTAATCACCTTTTCTTTTTAAAAAAAATCATTTTATTAGGGGCTCACACAACTCTTTTCACAATCCGTACATACATCATTTGTGTCCAGCACATTCATACATATGTTGCCATCATCATTCTCAAAATACCTTTCTACTTGAGCCCTTTGTATCAGCTCCTCATTGTTTCCTCTCCCTCCCCGCTCCCCCTTCCCTCTGAACCCTTGATAACTTATAAATTATTATTATATTATCATATCTTACACCATCTGACGTCTCCCTCACCCACTTCTCCATTGTCCGTCCCCCAGGGAGGAGGTTATATGTAGACCTTGTCATCTGTTCCCCCTTTCTCACTCACTTTCCCACCACCCTCCTGGTATCGCTACTCTCTCCACTGGTCCTGAGGGGCTCATCTGTCCTGGATTCCCTGTATTTCCAGTTCCTATCTGTGCCAGTGTACATCCTGTGGTTAAGCCGGATATGTAAGGTAGAATTAGGAACATGATAGTGGGGGGGAGGGGGAGAAAGCATTTAAGAACTAGAGGAAATTTGTATATTTTATCCTTGTTACACTGCACTCTGACTGGCTCATCACCTCCCTGCAGACCTTCTGCAAGGGGATGTCAAATTTCCCCCAGATGGGCCCTGGGTCCCCACTCTGCACTCCTCCTCATTCACAATGCTATGCTTTTTTTTTTTTTGGATGTTTGATGCCTGATACCTGATCCCTTTGACGCCTTGTCATCTCACAGGTTGGTGTGCTTCTTCCATGTGGGCTTTGTTGTTTCTCAGTTAGATGGCCCCCTGTTTATCTTCCAGCCTACGAGACCCCAGATTTTATGTATTCTGACAGCTGGGCACCATCAGCTTTCTTCACTGCATTTGCCTATGCACTCGCTTTTCTTCAGCGTTCGTGTTGGCTGGTGTGCTTCTTCCATGTGGGCTTTGTTGTTTCTTAGCTAGATGGCCGCCTGATTGTCTACAAGCCTTTAATCACCTTTTCACCTGTACCATTCCACCAGTTTCTCTAATCAAGGTCATCAAAGGCCCACAGTGCTGAAGGCAATGTTCAGCCCTTCTCTAACTTGACACCATGGCAGCCGTTGGGACAACCAAGCCATGACTCTTCCCTAAAACACTTTCTCCGATCTGTTCTCCCTGGGCTCCTGGTTTTCTTCTTTGGACACTGCCTCAGTCTCTCTTGCTACATAAAACCCCTCTTCTCGTTGTAGGCACCTGAAACGTGTTCTGCACTGAGCCTGTCTTGTCTCCCATTAAGAAACAACAAACAATAAAATCCAACTCTGTCCTCCTCAAAGGACGCCCCGTCGGAATAAATGGGAATTTAACGTTGCACAGCTCCACCTTGGAGTGATCTTTCCTGTCCCCTTTCTTCTCTCTTGGCTGTTGTTTCAACTCAAACTGAACTCACAGACTTTGCGCTGATTCTGACCCACAGCGACCCTGTGAACAGAGTAGAGCCCCTTGTGGGTCTCAGAGACTGTGAATCTTTATGGAAATTGAAAGCCTCATCTTTCTTCTGTTGAGTGGCTGGTGGTTTTGAACTGCTGACCTTGTAGTTAGTAGTGTGTTGTTAGTTGCCACCAACTTGACTTTGAGTCTTGGTGAGCTCATGTGTTAAAGAGTGGAACTGGTTGGTGTCTAGGGCTTCTTGGGCTATAATTTTAATGGTGGCCAGTCACCACTTTCTTCTGTGGGTGGACTCCAAACACCAATCTTTACATTGGCAGTTGAATGCGACCCATTTGCTTCAACCATGGACTTTTCCCCCAACTGTCTGTATCAAATGCAGCAATCAATCTTATTGGTGCTGCGGTCAAAATACAAACGTAATTGGACTCCCTGATGTTATCACTCTGGCCCATTACCTATCTGCTGAATTATTCCAACAAGCTTCTGACTGATCACCCTGTTGCTACCCTTACCCCTCTCCGTTACAAGTCAGAGTGATGAGTGAACACAGAGGTCACACCACGTCAGTTCTCTGCCCCAAACCCCCCAAAGCGTGCACATTCCCCTTGGAGTAAAAAGCCAAGTCCTTACAATGACTTATAGCGCCATACAAGCTGCACCCCACTTGCCCCAATACTTCACTCCAAATCTGTTAGCCTTCTTGCCCTTCCGGGACAATATGCCCCTCCTCACTTCTGGGTCCTCCTCACTGCCTCAGTTTGGAATGCTCTTAAATATCCTGATGACCCACCCATTTCCTTCTGCTCCCTACTCAACTGTGTATGTTAGTTGATTCCAACTCATGCAAACACCATACGTGTCCCTGCAGAAGTATGCTACACAGGGTTGCCACCGGCTGAGTTTTTGGAAAATCACCTGGTCTTGAAGGTGCCTCTGAATGGGCTAGAACCCCTAACCTTTTTGGTTAGTAGCCAAGTGGGCTAACTCTGCACCATGGGCTCCTTTTCCTGCTTCTTCATACAAAACCAAACCCCACCCTTCAACATTTTTCCTCTCAAAAGATTCTCAAAGGGAAATGAGAATGTATTAATACATATTTTAGAACATTCCATGTTCATATACATTTCAATTATTTGTCTAATTTATTGTCTACCTTCCCCATTAGAATGTTCATACTCAACAAATACTTGTGAAGTGCCATCAATCCATTAAAATATAACTCCCAAGTTTATGTAGTACTCAAATGTAACATACAATGTTCCCCTCCTAGCCCCAAACAGACGAGAATCTAGACCCCTTAGGATCCAAAGTCCATGGTCTTCACCGCCAACTAATAGTGTCTACCTTCTACGACCCAGAGCCTCCGGTCCCTAGCACAGTACCTGGAACACAGGCAGTCTGGGGAAGATTTGTTGAATAAACTTACCGGTATTGGTCTCACTTCTCCAAGAAGACTTATCAATGCTTGGAGTGCAGAGGTTAAAGATTAAACCCTTCTTCTATCTTTTTTTTTTTTTTTAAACATTTTATTAGGGGCTCATACAACTGTTATCGCAATCCATACACACATCAATTGTGTAAAGCGCATTTGTACATCATTCTCAAAACATTTTCTCTCCACTTAAGCCCCCAGCATTAGGTCCTCATTTTTCCCCTCCCTCCCCCTCCCCCCTCCCTCATAAGCCCTTGATAGTTTATAAATTGTTATTTTGTCATATCTTGCCCTGTCCGACGTCTCCCTTCACCCACTTTTCTGTTGTCCGTTGCCCAGGGAGGAGGTCACATATAGTTCCTTGTAATCGGTTCCCTCTTTCCTACCCATTCTCCCTTTACCCTCCCTGTTTTGCCACTCACACCACTGGTCCTGTAGGGCTCATCCATCCGCCCTGAATTCCCTGTATTTTCAGTTCCTATCTGTACCAGTGTACATCCTCTGGTGGTTCTCCACCTTCCCAATGCCGCAATCCTTTCATACCATTCCTCATGTTGTGGTGACCCACCCCCCCAACCATTAAATTATTTTTGTTGCTACTTCATAACTGTCATTTTGCTACTGTTATGAATCGGGACACCCTTGTGAAAGGGTTGTTTGACCTCCAAAAGGGTCGTGACCCCCAGGTTGAGAACCACAGCTCTAGCAGTAGCTCTGTAAAGCACATGGTACTTTACCATCGGGTGTTCAATGAGCATTTATTTTATACTTGACTCTCCAATTTTTTAAGTTTCCTGGGTTAACATAAGATCCATTTCTCACCCCATGCACAAATATTCAGTTAATCCATGTATTTGAATCGGTTCCTATATAATCCTATCTGTAACTGGATGAAAGCTGTACTTGTATTTATATGGTCTTGCAAAGACCAATTTTCCTTAGGGCACATCATCAGTCTATGGCAGCAACTTCTATGGGCTCCCATGGGTTACCTGGCTACGCATGTTATTTCAAGATCTCGTGCGACCATGGTGATGACGGGCAGGGTCACTAACTCCATTTTCCTCTCTCAGTGTTCTTCCTACATCTGTCTATGGGTCACAAGTTGCTTCTGATTGCCAGTTTGCTGGCAGCAGGGCTCCACCATCTTTACAAATACTTAAAAAACAAAAGATCTCAGAGGCAGCTGATTCGAAGGCACGCTCCTCAAAGAGAAGTGCACCTTATTTCCTTGTGGCATTATCTGTTTGTTTGGCTACGGCATTTATCTAAACATTACGACTGCATGCCAATGAGTACATTTCAGTGCTCCATATTTTTAGGGTACGAGTAACTCCAGGAACAAAACTTATTTTAAATTAGCATTTGGGGCACACGTGCTTATTCTTTTTGTGCTCTTCTCTGCAACTTTTAAGAAACGGCCAACTCTTCCTTTGCATCCTCTGTGAGTCATACATTTTAGCATCGTCACCGCAGCACGCGTCCTCCCAAGCCTATTTCCCTTGATATGAAAAGCCAGACCGGCCACACTGCTCCGGGCAGGTGAAGGAGAGTGCTCTCTACAGGAATCTGACCATGAAGAGGACCATGGCGCTGCAGAGCCCGGGGAGGGCACGTGGGAAGACAGGGGTCCTGGGCCAGTCTCACTCACTTTCCTTCGGAGCTGTAGCTGTTCATGCTGCCGTCGGTGGACTCTCGGCTGGCCTGACGAGTCATCCAGTTCCTCATTTCCACCGCCAGCCCCGTCTCCGTGCTCCGCTGCACTGTGCTGCGAAGCTTTTTACCTCCGGCCTCTGCAGAGACAGGGGACAGCAGGAGTCACACAGAGGTGGTAACAGGCACCACCCAAACCCCAGAGCCAAACGCCAGCCAACCGCTCCGAGATCCGATGAAAAGAGCTGCGAAAATACAAGGGGAGGCTCTTATTACGAAGACAGAGAGACTCGGGATGGAAGACAGGGTCTCCTTGAGTGGATGCACATGTTCTAAAAATTCTTCATCAAGCCGCACAAAACACCGCATGTGTGATTCCCATTTAAAACAGTGCTCAAATCGGTAGCATTAGGAACACAAAAGGTTCAATGGGAGTAAAATAAAATCGGTTTTGTTCTCATTGTAACAGCTAAATGTCAGATTTCCTCGTGGCTGTCTTTGCTCTTTGTCCTAGTAAAGGAGCTACTAGGTCTTCATGCTGTTTACAACGAGCAGGTGGTGAGCAATTCCAAACTTCTATTTTCAGCTTTTAAAAAAAATCTACCTTTGTAAGGTGACAAGTATTAGAAGGGAGAGGGAAAAAAAGGGAGAGAAAGTCTGTTTGGTAACAAATTCACATTTGGGGATAACTTTTAGAAAAATTTAAAATATCCGCAAAGGGAAATGAGAAAACCCAGCAATAAATGCCACGTGAACGAGCTTTGTACTTTTGGGTCAAGGAGAGTCTCTGTCTCAAGGATCTTGGGGAATTTGCAACTGAGATTTATTTACAGAAGCCAATTAGAAGACCACTGTCATTGGTGCTGGTCACGGTCTGTCAATTCAGACCCCAAGTAGCAGGGCAGAACCGGGCCATGGAGCTTTCTGGGCTGTGACCTCTCAGACTCAAATCACCAGATCTGTTGTCCAAGGTGCCTCTGGGTAGATCTGAACTTCTAACCTTTGGCTACTCATAGAGCTCTGAGCCCATTTGGATCATCTGATTTGGAAGACCAAATAGAAAACTGTATCAAGTACCTAAGACAGAGAGGTAAGACGTGATACCAGGAGAAGTTAGAGAGGATGGAGAACCACAGAAACAGAGGGGCTTGAGCTGGCTTTTTAAAAAATGGGTCGATTGGGACCAGAGGAAAAGCAAGCACAGGTGTTCTGAGGAAGGTTTTGCAGTAGCATGAACAAAAGTACAGGAGAAGGGATGTCCATTAGCATTTGAAGGGATGGTCTAGCAACCTAATCACAAACAGGAATCATGGAGTAATTAGTACATAACAAACAGGAATCGTGGAGTAATTAGTACATCAGAAACTGCTCATTTTACTAGGGGCCTTAGAAGCTGAACTCGGAAGTATTTGTTGGAGATAACTGAAGCAAGAGGCTATATCTACTTGCTCCCTGTCAACCCTAACTATGTATTTACACTGACCCAGTGTCTAGCTCTTTGGGACATATCCACATGGTAAGCTCTTTTAGAGCCTGATAATATATTTGCCTTTAGATCAATAAATATTAGGTATTGCCTGTGCTTCATGGAAATCCATTTACACCAACCCTGTGGATATAGTTAGTCACCGTTCTGAAACACTGCTTTAAGTTCTATCTATTATTCACTGCAAACTTCAATGTCTATCAATATGCTTTAAAGATATATGAAAATAAGTTATGACTTATCTATACCTCAGGTTCCTTACATTAGGCTAGTATCAGATTATTGATAATGAACATGTTGTACTGATATTAACTGCAGGGAGATATAGTTTCCCAATTTGATGAGGGAAAACTCTTCTTCACAAAGGTATGTCAGTTAAGTTACTGAAAAGAAATGATAACATTGAAAAATCACCAATTTGCAATGTCAAATGTAAGCATCAGTGGATGTTAATACCACTAGATGGAAAGTCAGGAAAGGAAGATGAGCCAAATAACCGTTCCACAAATTACCTGTAGATGTTAAAGACAAAAAATACACTTGAACGCTAGGAAACATTGCAACCACCATCTTAAGCAAGTATTAGTATTAGGCAATCATCCTGCTGGAAAGCCTGCTGAAATGAGCCTATCCAGTTGGTCTAGACAAAACTACAAACCCTGAATTCCAATCAGGTCACTGGAACCAACTGTCAGTGTGGAAGACCCAGGGGCAGAGTAACAAGACAAATGAGACAGTGAGGAAACAATCAGGTAACCTAGACCATGGCATATTGTTCAAACAATTGGC